AGAAACAGCAATGAGTGGTTCCCTTATTGCCTGGCAGACCAAATGATTCCGGTAACAGACCCCTGCAACTCCTTTGCTTCCTGACACTTAAAAATCTGCACATGCTGAATCATCCTCACAGCACAGAACACTGATCTCAGCTCTCAGACCCTCCAGGCCTCCCCAAGCCTCAGCCTCCCACCAAACTCACTAGTAAAATTACAGTCTCTGTTTCTCTCAAGGCTTAATTTGTAAAATTTTGTAAGAAGTGAATTTGTGCAAGTTGAGCCATAAGTATAAATCTCCATCTCAGGGGGAGAAAAAAATCTCCCACCACACAAAGGTTCTTCTGTTGCATGTGTAAGGGAGACAGGCAGAAAAGGTAGGAAGTCCCACAAGCTCAGAGCAAGAGGGAACTGTGCTGGGAACTCAGCTGGCTGCAATGCAGGATCCAAAATCTCCAGAAACAGAGACATGCACATCAGATGTTTCCTCCTCACAACCTTCTGCTGCGGCATTGCCTTCATGGCAATAGATAATTTGAAGGTGTTTTAATCCATGCCCTTTTCATGAGCCTGAGCATCACCTTCTCTGCAGTGAAATGCTTTCAGCTGCAATCTGGTCTGTAAGCAGTGCCCATTTATAGTGCTGGCTTTGGAAACACAGCTTCACTCCTCAGTCCACCGCAGGAAAACTCATTCCAAGCATTACTGAAGTCTTGCTTCAATCCTCTTTTGGGGTTTTAAGTGGGATGGGCATTTTGTGTAGGTCCTTCCCAGGATTAGATGTGACCTGAATGTGTGAAGAAGGCAGAAAAAGAACCCTGGCAGTCTCACATGCAGCTCTGCAGTTCACAGCCAGGAGCTCAGAGGGAACGGGGACAGGGACAGCTTGGGTGTTCAGAACAGAGCATAGGGACAAGCCTTCACACTTTTGAAAGGAGGCTGTGAAGTTGTGGATAGATTTAGCAAATCCAGCAAGCAGAAGCGATTCTTGGAAGCGAGAAATTTGGGGAGTTCCTTTGCTCCTTTATCTCAAGCAAAGTTTACTGTAGAATTTTTGAGCCAAAATGCAAGTTCCTTTTGCATCACTTGGGTACCACAGCTTTCTGCTCTGCCTTGAACATTATCACCAACACTTCAGGAGTTCCCTAGGCTGTGCTGCACACCCTGCTCATACCAAACTTGCTGCTGAATGTGCTGAACTCCAATGGGACCTCTCCAGAAAGCACATTTTCCAAGATTCTCCAGTGAAAATTACTGATTTATTAATAATAGCATTTAATGCAGCACCATGTGCTTCAGGGAAGAGAGTTTGATCCATTCATTCACAAATCCTCCTGTAAACAGTACACAGCATTTTCCTGACTGGAGCACAGGGCCCTTCTAGTGCAGAGAGATGTGATTAAATCAATCAGCTGTGTGTTTTTTACATACTCTGTGTCATGCAGGAGAACCCAAGTCATTCTCCACGGCACACAGGGCTGCTGGCAGTGTTTGCCTCCTGAGGAGCAGCAGCTGATTTTGCTGTAACTGTGAACATGCAGCAAGAGCAGAGGATTGTGTCACCCATCAGGGTGAGCACATGGCAATCCAGGGAATACTGCTACTCTGCTCCAGCAGCAGCCAAAAGAAACCAGGACTCCCAACTGGAACCCTCTGGAGGCAGATTAAAACCATCACAGGCTGCACAGCTGGCGGCACTGACAGCTTGAGTCAAACCTGTCTCACGGGTTTGGGATGCAGGAGGAGAGCAACAGGGATGGATGTGCCAGCAGGGAGCAGGAGTGGTCCAACATGTGAATGTGGTTAGGAAGGGTTTCACCATTCCCTCCACATGTAACACAAGCAGGGAATGGCACCTGCAGGTGTTTTCTCAGGCAGACCGAACAGGAGGGAGAAGGTGAGTTTAGGAGAATGTGTACTCCCGAAAAGGTCAGTGGCTGGTCTTTATATGGATATGGTGAGTGTGATGCTGAGCTCCAAAGAGTGCTGGTGCCCCCAGGTGTGCTGATTTCAGGAGAGAATTTTAAAAGGGTAAACTATGACAGAAAATTTGTGACAAGAATTAAAGCCTGTTGAGAAGGAACAGTAAGTTCTAGATGCACATTGCATTTCTGTGTCGTCCTCCAGACTTCCAGAGACCTGCCTGGTCCCTGTGAGGTCTCTTGGATCCCCTTTCCCACCCTGCTTAGGCTGGAAAAATGTGTGCAGCAGCTTCTGGTTCCTTATCTTAAGACCAATAGTTCCTCCAACTGGAAGCTGCACTTCTGGTTCCCAGCCTAAATATACTTATGACCTGTTTATCTTTGCTTGATTTGGGGCCATGATTTTGCAAAAATGTAACAGCCAGCCCACATAAGTATTTTAAAATGCTGTCTCATCTCAGATGCTTAGACCAGATCCTGCAGTTCTTGCATGGAGAAAAATCCTTGTGACCTTGATGACTCTACTCCCCAAATAGTATTGGAAAAAGAATTTGCAGGCTTGTCTTATTTCACACCAGCTCCTTATTCCAGCAGCCCCTGACTGCTCAGACATGTATCCAAACAACCCAGGGCTTCCTTTAAGGTAGAGCAGAAGTTCCAGGAGCAAAATGAGTGAGTTGAGTATTGGTGGATCAGAGTAACGTTTTACATTTGTGCAATAATATCATTGTAAGAGCAGAACTCCCTGCCTTTCTCTTTGTCCAGGGATTTCATGGTGGTTAAGGTTGGAAAAGGCTTCAGCCAGAACTTGAAGCTGCTGTGCAGCAGCAGGGTGGAGAGTCCAGCCTTTCTCCAAACCAGCATCTCTGTGTATGAATGAGAGAACATACATGAGCATGGGCTTCCTTCATTCCCCGCTCCAGGGATTCCCTCACTGCAGAAGACAGGGAGAAAAGGTTGTTCAGGGTTGTACCCAATCACTGCCTTTTGTGGGGGTGATGCTGATGTGCCACTCATCTGTTTCAGCATCACATTCTCTGAAACACAGCACTGTGCTCACTGTACTCAAACACTGTGAGTTGTCAGACGCAGATAAAAGCTCCCCAACATTAACAGCAGCAACATTCCAACCGCTAAATTCAGCTTTGAAGTTAGCAACTCACTAAGCCATGGAGGCTGCTCCTTTCTGCGCTGACTCAGTGGGACGATTTACATCCCACAGCTATTTTTACAGAGAAAGAATGAGAAAAAAGCCACACATTTATTTTTCAAAATCCAGTCTTGGGTTCTAGAGAATTGTTTGCAGCAAGCCTAGATAGGTTTCCATGCCTATTCATCCCCTGGCTTATTTGATGAGCTTGCCAGCAGGAAGGATTTTAATTCCTTTTTATCCCAAACTATTTTTTCCACAGCTGTGATATGAAATGGTTCTGCCAAATAATTTAGGCTAAAAATCTGACCTATATTGAATAGTATAAGATGCTGAGCATGTTCTTAGGATTTTAAGGGCAGAATTTGTATTTCACTGTAGGATTTTTAATGGAAGCCTACAAGAAAACATTGTCTCACATCTCCTTAGTCTTATTATTATTATTAATAGTATTATTATTATTATTATATGTTACTAATACTATAAGACGTGTTGATGGCTCACTTGCAACAGCATACAAAAAAGGATCTTGTGAAACAGCCATATGAAAAAACATAGAACCTGTATGTGTTTTATAGGACAGTTTCAAAACCTGTCTTTTAATCGGTGCCCATATTTCAGGCCATATCATCAGACATTGGTTTGATTGCTGGTGTAGACTGCAAGCGTTATTAAGTGTTGCCACGTGACTTCTTTAAGCCTATTTGGCAAAAGCATTCACCACCCTAAGGGTCCCGTGCTGCAAATACAGTAATTGCAACTTTTAATGGCAAACATCTCGAATGGCAAATTTGGTCTGTACTTTAAAATATGTACTGTGTGGGCAAAATCCTGCTTGGGAGCACAAGCTGCTTCAGGGCATGAGAGGTGGGAAGCACGGGAAGGCTTCATTTCGGTTTCAGAGGAACACAGAGGCCACCAGCACCCACACACTGCTGTTCTCAGCTCCAAAGGCTTCATCACACCCAGCACAGCTCCCAAACCTCCCCTTCCAGGCCCAACGGCATGGACATTGTCAGTGCACATCAGCATCCTCTGAGGAAAGGGCAGAGCTTTCTGCCTTGGCAGGCGGTCAGAGCATCATCCCGGGATGTGACAGCCGTGGGTTCAAGTGCCTGCGGGGAATGTTTATCCCGTGCAGTATAAACACAGCCGGCCGGGAAGCAACGTATTGCGCAGAAATGCTTTGAGTCACTTTGTGGAGATAAATACTAAGTTTATGTCCTCCCAGCCCCGGGTCTGCCTTGCCCATATAGGGCCCAGGATCAGCGCTGCCTTGGCTTTGCTTCAGGAGCTGGAAGAGTGAGCATCCATCCCTCCGCACGGGCTTCGGGGCTGCTGCTGGGGCTGGGGGCTGTGCACGGGGGTCTGAGCCCTGGGCTCCACCTCAGCCCTGCCGGCCGGGGCTCGGCTCCGGGGCCGCTGGGATGGAACGAGAGCATCGATCACCTTCATCCGCTTTTAGAGAGCGCTTTGACCTGCTCAAACGCCTGCTATGCGTTTAGCAGATGTGTCCTCCTGCCTCCAGGAAGGTCAGGACCTCTTGGGAACTAGCGGCCACCAGTGTTACTGATGGTTTGGGTGGGGAGCTGAGGGGAGGAGAAGTTTTTTTAAAGTAACACAAAGGGACGAGGTGAGTGGTCGTGCGGGGACACTGTGGGCTGGTGGCTGCGGCAGGGAAGTCGCCCCGGTGGAAAGGGGAGGTGCCGGGGGTGCCGGGGCCGCCCGCTCCCCGCGGGGCTCCCGCCGCTGCCCCCGCCGGCGGCGCCAGCACCCGGCACGGCCCCGCGGCCCGGGGGCGGGGCCTCGCGCTGGCAGCCAATGGGCGGGGAGCCACCGCCGGGCTCATTTGCATTCGGGCGCGACGCAGCCAATGGGCGCGCGAGCCGCCGGCCGCGCTGCGCTCCAGCCGCCCCGCCCGGGCGGCCGCGGCTCATTCGGAGAATGGCCGCGGCCACGGCGTGCGGCTCCCCGCCTCCCCGCCCGCCCCGCGAGCAGCCGCCGCCGCGCAAGCGGGGCGACTCCCGGCGGAGGCAGGCCGCCCTCTTCTTCCTCAACAACATCTCCCTGGACGGGCGGCCGCCCTGCCCGCCCGCCGAGAAGCCGCCGCTGCCCGCCGGCCCGGGCGACGGGGAAGAGGCGGCGGCGGAGCCGGCCGGAGCCCCCCCGCGCCTGCTGCCCCCGCCGCCCGTATGCCAGCCGCCGCCCGCCCTGCTGCTGCCCGGCGTGCCCGCGCTCGCAGCCGCCGGAGCCAAGGGGGATGCGGACCCCGCCCGCGGGAGCATCTTCCTGCCGCAGCTGCTGCTGGGCGGCCCGCTGTGCCCGCCGCCCCCGGCGCCGCCCGCCCTGCCGGGGATGCTGGCGGCCCCCAAGCCGGGCGCCCCGGGGCTGCTGAGCCCCACGCAGAGCGCGGCGGGCGGCGGCTTCGCGCTGGAGGCGCAGCGGCAGAGGTGAGTGAGGGGACGGGGCTCTCCGGGCCAGCCCACAGCCCCCGCCCCCGCCGCGCTGACCCCGCGGGGCGTGGGAAGCGCCGGGACCCCCGCGGGCCTGGGAAGAGCCGGACTTTCCCAGGGCCCTCGGCCGGCCGGCGGCTCCGGGAGGGGGGAGCGGGGCATGGGAAACGGGCGCCCCCGGGGAGAGCGGCCGTGGGAGGCGGCGCCGGCCCCGCGGTGGCCCCGGGAGGGAGCACCTGCCCCGGGGCCCGGCCGGAGGTGCGCGGGGATCCGGCCGGAGAGCGCTGCCCGGCCCGCGCCGCCTCGGCAGCGCCGCTCGGGCCCGGAGACGCGGAGGATGCCCCGGCCGGCGCAGCGGCGGGTGAGGGGAATCTGCGGAGGGGATCTCTCGCTGAGGCTCTCTTTGCAGGTCTGCGGTACCCTGAACCCTGCCTTCTGCTTTTCCCCAGCCCGGTTTCTGCATTTCTCTGTTTCCAGATGAAGCTGACAGGGTCACTGCTAGGCAGGACGCTTCCTCCGTGCACTCCGGCCACACTGCTGGTGTCGTGCCTTCTCCTGCTCTGTGCTGCTTGTCGCTGCAACTTGTATTAATGAATGCTTGTGCACAGGGAACTTGGAGTCAGCCTCGGGGGAGGATGCTCTGGCCTTCAGAGCAGTATTACCATTGCATTTCCAAGGGACTTCTGTCAGGCTGAAAGTGCTGGTTTTCTAATCGACTGGAAGGAAGGCTCTTGCTCAGATCATGGGGATTTGAGCTCTGAAAGAACTCTTTTCAGGCCGTTTCTTGCATAAACAGTTCTGTAAAGTGAGCTGGCCCTCTGAGCCTGCAGATAGGCAGCTGTATCAAAGGCTTTAAGTCTCTGTGGTCTTTACAGCGGCTTCGAGAGCTTTGTTAGTGAGCTGAAATAGAGATGTTGTCAGTGTTTGAAAGCTGGGCAGTTTGCTAATGCAGTTGATGGGTATCCCCTTTCAGTGTGCATCCCACAGTGGAGAACCCTCAGCTTGGGGGTTCAGGTGAATTTGAAGAGAAGTAGCTGTTTGTCCATAATGTGGGGGGGTCCTCATGTGTTGTCCCTCCTGGGGTGTTTTCCTCTTGAACCCTTATTTACCACTCATTGCTTTTCTTGTCATGGACAAAACCTTTCCCTCCTTGTTTGTTGGAAAAATGAAGCTGTGGCTACCAGCTGGGTGCCCTGCATTGTGCACTTGTGTGCCGCTTGTTGAGCAGGAAAGCCTGGAGTGAGGGTGCTGCTGTGGAACAGTTCCTACCCAGCACTCCTGGTCCACAAAAGCCAGCACAGGAGGTGCTGTGTGATTTAATTTCATTGCTTTAATATTGTAGGCGAAGCTCTTGAGGGCAAGTTTTGCATTAAGAGTTTCAAAGCACATTTCCCTTTGTGGATATGGCTTTCGTTGTGCCTGTGTGTACGGAGTTCTGGAGAGATGATCCTTCCCCTTTCCCATGCCAAGTCAACAGGACACTAAGAAAATATTCCTGGGATCCTCTCATTTTATGTCCTTCCTGCCTCTTTCCTTGGCATCAGGTTTGAGTTGTTCCACCACAGTAATTCGAATCAATCTGGCTGAAAAGAATGATGAATCAGAAATAAAAGGTAGAGCGAAATACTAGAGGCAGTCAAGGGAATCAAAAGGCTTCTGTCTGAGTAATGACAAAATAAACCATGATTTTTTTTGCTTGGAAGATTTGGCTGGAACGGTATATTGTATTGATCAGTTTGCATGCTACTTTTGAGGGTGATTTGGAGTGAGAGTTCATCTGGTTTTCATCTTGAAAGAAAAAGCATCCACTGAAACCATCAGACAGAAGATCCACATCTTTACATGGACACACACATCTTCTGACAAAAGGACAGTTTTGTGCTGCCTGTGGAGATGTGTTAGATCCAGTGTACCACATCCCAGTCACATTGGCCATGGGTGAAATGGACCATCCCTCTGTAACAACAGTTTCACTGTCAACTTCCAGGGTGAGGGATTTGTCACTTTATTTTTCACTGGACAGTTTCATGCTTTGGTCTGTGGCAGAGTATTTCTTCATCCCCCTTGAGCAGAGGCATCTCTTCTTGTTGTAAATACACAAGGAATGATTCGGGGAATCACTGGAGGAATGTCCTGCAGGACAGTGGTGCTTTTACTCCTTCCCCTTCTGTGTTGGGTGAGCTATTTGCAATCTGAGATTCCAAAGTCAGCAATTACAAAATGGATCTTATTGGGAGATGGGAATCTGAGAATTGTTTTGCCATACAGCAGTGTTTCTATTCTAGATAATTAACTGCCTGCACCATGCAGAGGTACAGGCGAGTGAAGTTGGCGGAGAGAAGGGGGAAGCGGAATCTGCACTGCCATTCTGGGCTTTTCATCCTTGGAGCCCACTTTAGGCAGCTGTTCTCTTCAGAGTCCTTTTTAAGTCACTGACAAGAGCTGCTTTGAATTTTCCTCAGATGCGTGAGGATCACTGGCTGCAGGCTCCCTCTGTCTGTGTTCACTGACCAGTCTTGTGCCATGTCTGGGGATTTCATCGTGCTGGGACTTGCCCCAATCATGGAGGTCTCTATCTACTATCATATCTCTATCTCTACGTACTGACAGTATCATTGGGCAGAGTTTTATTACAAAACTTGATCTTGTTTGACTTGATTGAGAGGTTGCAAGAAGCTGATGACACCGGCCAGCATGGCTCAGGGCAGGGTGTGACGGCACCTCTGCTCGAGCTGGGGGTTAGTTATTGGTAACAGGCAGGATCTGCACTGCAGCCCAGGGAACAAGAGATCTGCTCACCTGATGTAACCTGGAGTTCCCTGGAGTTCCTCCTTTATTGTCAGGTCTTTTAGGATAGAAACTTAGCAGAGGAGACACCGTTCAAATCTGGTTGCTCAGTTTCATTGTGCTACTGGCTGAGCATTGTAAACTTAATGACTTTAACCTTCCACTTTCATTTTCCTAAGGAGTCTTCTGTTTACAGGATCTTAAATTACAATGCTGTGTTATGCCAGCTTGCCTGATGTGCTTGCCATCCCTCTTCCCTTCTCCTTTTCCATCTTGCTCTTTTGTTCTTTTAAAGAACGAGCCTCACAGAAAGCAGTGGAGGGAGGCAGCAAACAAGGAACAAATCGGCATTCACAGATTTTTAATGAATTTCTGCAGCTGGGTCTGAAACTGACAGAGCTTTTTGGGAAAACACAGATAGCAGAGAGCCTTGGAAATAGCCAGGTTATGAAAGCATTAAAAATGGAAACAACAGCCCTGAATGTCAATGCTTGTTGTGCTTCTGAGGTTTTATTACAGTGTAATGTAAAAGCAGCTGGTTTTGCCATAATTTGCTGCATTTTGCTGCGCCTAAGAATAAACACAGAGACGAAATTATTTGTGACTGATGCTTTAATGTCCTTGGAGTTCAGTGGTCAGGGAGCTGAACTGAGTGTTCGTGATAGCTCAGTCATTTCTGATTTATCAGCAAATTTAGGTCATTTTGAAAGTGGGAGTTTAAACAGTAGTTGATAACAGCAACACTTTGGACCTACTCTGTTTTTGAGTGTTAATTGGATGCCAAATTGCTGACATAGGTGTGATCAGATTAGTTCTGTGGGTGGAAGAGCAGAAATGCTTCGTCAGGATTTTGTACTTATGGTAGTTAATGTGTTGTTTTGTCCTACTGTCAGCTTAGCTTGTGGTCACTTCAAGAAATATAAATATTTTTATAAAAACTCCCCTGCTAATAAACAGATATTGTTGAAATGGATGAAATAAAAAGTCTTACTTTAAATTTTGAACCTAATTTGGAATAAGCTGGGCACATGGTGCTTTTCAGGAAGCAGCAAGCTCTGTCAAAGATGGCAAGCTTTGACCTTTCAGAGGTGAACAGTAGACTGGAATGTGCTGCTCGAGGCTGAAAATGAGCATATTCTAAACCTGAACTTCATTTAAAAGTCAGCTGAAACGTTAAGGCCACAGTCTCCTCCCCAGGCTGCTTCACCACATTTCTCTCATATTCTTGACTGCAGGTGTATTACACGTGTCCAAGATTAATTTTTTTATAGCTGCCTGTAGACATTCCCAGCCAGGTATATTACAGAAGTAAGCTGTATGGCTAGCAGGAAACTTGGAGATCAGAACATCTAAGTCCTTGTATCCTGTGCACTCCTGTGAAAGGGTCTGGGTCAGGCAATCCGAGACACTTCCAACACCAAGGTTATTTGACCTCTTCAATTTAGATAGTCTGGAGGCTTTAAAGTACCTTTGCTCTCCAGGCAGGAGTAGTCTGTGCACAATTAACTGTATTTGCAGCTGATTTTACCTGTGGATGGATTCTGCAGCTTTTCAGAGTGATACAGGAGGCCTGGCAGCAGGTTTTGGGATGCTGCAGGTTTGGGGATTCCAGCTCAAAGCTCTTCTCTGCTGGAAGTGTTGAGGGTAGAATGATGTTGTCTTGCTTCAAGTCAAGGACTCATCAGCCAAGAATGAAAACGCTACTGAATTAAATATAAAAACCAGAATAACTTAATTTTGGGAATCCCATTTAGACCTCCAGTGAGCAAGTCCTGTAGGAGTGTTACAGTATAGTATATTAAATGTAATTATTTAGTTATATATAGTATATTAAATATATAGTATATTAAATACTGTGTTCTGTTTTCCATCTGTCAGCCAGTTAAAGCTGTGATGCTGTCAGCCTGAGCAAGCTTGAAGATATTTTCGAGCCTTCTTTTGAAGGTTGTTCTGAAGGTGTCTGGCTCTGTAGTTGGAGTTTTAAAAATGCACAATGAAATTTGGGCTCTTTAATGAGCACAAGGTATTGTTGATAGAGGAGGTGACTGCAGATGGAGGGTGCTCAGCTAAAGCCACTCAGTCAACCCAGTTCTTCAGACAGAGCTCCAAACTCCTGGCCTTTGGTTTACAGCTGTTGAGTATTTAACCTGCTGTAATTGGAATTCACCTGGAATTACTGTAGCCTACTGTAATAGGAATTTACCTATTCC